TTTTTTTTAATAATAAAGAATAGACTTTTATTTAAAGCATTCAATAATATCTCATCTCAGTGCTTAATTACTTACTTGGTGTAAGTAACAAGTTTAACAGAAATTACTCGTTAAACGCTTGTAAAGTTAATTTAACTGTAATTAGAAGAAAAAGAAATTTAACATGCTGTAAATAACACTACGCTAAATCTTGAAAAGAAGAACTAACAGCAAAACATCTACTTTATTAAAGTTTTCTTAGACAAACTGACCATAATAGGTTTCTCAGTATCCCTTGTAGTTCGATGAACACGTTCAAAATCGTCGAGTACAGCAATAGCCAAAAGATATGTGCTCATTTTTACAGATTTTGCAAAGTGATCTTTAACCAGTCTAAAATTACAATAAATCTGAATAAGCAATAAAAAGCAGTAAGTGTTTTTTATTTGCTACTTAAGTGTTTTGTGAGTAAAAAATGTTCAATTAAAACTGACCCATTTTCTGAAGGATCGCTTTTCAAAAGATGCATATTTGATAAGGCAGTCAGACGCTTTTCATGAGTTATTGAAATTTCAAAAGTTGCCTTAAACGATGGTTCATCAAAGCACGGCAACATTTTACGTGCATTCGTTGGCTCGAACTGTGTCACAGCAGAAACTCTAAAAAAGGGTTTTCCTTTTCCACCTATTTTCGGTATAAACAGGAACTTTAAGTTACCAAGCTACTAATTGAAGTAGCCTTATGACAGCAATAACCAAAAAATAAGCCAGTATATTAACAACAGAAAGAGCTAATTTAAAAAAATCAGCGTCAACCAGTAAGCAAAATCAAAAATTGAGTTTCAACTACATTCTTTTGCCTTTTCCAGAGATGTGCGTATTAGCGTAGATTCCACTAAAATCGGTATGTATCAGTCCGGTATAATCGATTTCCAAACTGACTTTTTGGTTCCGCTCTACGGGTGCTTCCAACAAAAATGCCCACTGATATAAACGTTTACAGGTTATCTAAAATTAAGTAATGTTAAAATGGAAATTCACTGTGACAAATTTTAGCAATTTTCAATGAATTTTAAAATTTTTAAAAATTTTGATGGTATTTAAACTTTATGAAATGAATAAGTAAATGCATCTTTTATCAGGAAGAAGTTTGCATGAGAAGTCACTACTAAATTGTGAAATTTTTTTATACTGTTTCTGCTAAAGTCATTAGAAAAAAACTG